ACCGCGGCGGCAGCGAGGGACAGCGTAACTTCGGGCTGAGCGCTCGCAGAAACGCCCAGGCTGAGTTTCAGCTCCACTTCAGCCCTGTAGTTGCCATTCCCAGCCCAGGATGCAGTCAGACGCAATCACCTCAAGCCAACAATCAATAGTGGAGATAAGCACGACGATTATTTATTCATTTTCATAACCACATCGCCGCGCACCCCACTGAGCACCATCACCCTCACCTCGGCCCCGACTGGCCGGCAGTGCTCCCCGCCGGCACAGTGGGAGCAGATGGAGGAGCACGGAGGGGTGGGAGCCTGACCTGTCAGCTTGGCATGTCTGTGCCCACCCTGCACCCACCCCCAGCAAACACATGGGCTGCGGGTTCTTCCAACCCCAGCGTCTGCAACACACACAGTGAGGAGAAGGAGCAGGAGCAGCTGAACCAGAGCGTTAGCCCCCAGGCACACACAGCACCGCAGCCAGAGCCAGCACCAGGGACAGGAGAGGACACAGCGACAGAGCCAGGGCCACCCACCGTGCTCCTCGTGGCCTCCCCTTGCCCAGGCATGGGGAAGCCAGCAGCAGCTCTGGGCAGACAGGCCTGGTGCTCCCCACGCCTGCCATGGTGGCCATCACGGGCGAGACAGGCGTTGTGACACCTACAGAACTGAGAGCCAGGTCAACCCAAAAGATAAAGCCACATTTCAAAAGGTAGAAAAGTTTCATTTCGAAAGGTCAAACTTCAGTGTTCCGATAATCAAAGAATTATAGAATCATTTTGGCTGAAAAATACCTTTAAGATCAAGTCAACAACTCACCCAGCACTGCCAGGTCCCCACTGACCCGTGTCCCTCAGCACCACACCTCCACAGCTTGGGAACCCCTCCAGGGGTGGGGACTCCACCACTGCCCTGGGCAGCCTGGCACAGCCCTGGGCAACCCTTCTGGGGAAAAAATTGTTCCTAATGTCCAAGCTAAAACTTTCCTGGCGCAGCTTCAGGCTGTTTCCTTTTGTACTGTCACTTGTTCCTTGGGAGAAGAGATCAACCCCTTCACCTCACTACAACCTCCTCTCATAAACCTCCTTTAAAAACATAATGAAATGTTTTGGTTACAAGGTTACATCAGTGTTTTGGCAATTTTGAAAAAGTTTATGCTGGCAAAGAAAGGAAATATACATCATGTTTACCCTGGACTCTTGAGTTGCCTCACCGCCCCCAGAAATTCAATTCCTGAAGAATACACTAGACGTAAAGTTATATCAGTATTCAAGAATTGCTCCCCTGAGCACCGCCGTGTGCTGGTTTGGGGGTGCCCAGCAGGGCCGGGGTGCTCAGGAGGCCCTCGGGCACGGGACCAGTGCTGCCAGCTGCCCGCAGCGGAGCTCGGCACGGGGAAGGCGGATCCAGGCGGAACAGGGACCCGCGTCCCCCGCGAGCTCAGCCCTTCCCGGCGCAGGTAGAGGAGGCAGCACCCCCTGAACAACACCCCTCAGCACTGCCCCCCTGAACCTGCCTCCAGCCCTGCCGCAGACACAACTCCAGCCCCCACACCCAGGTGCTGAGCCAACTCCTCCAGCGCCCGTGGGCCCGGGGAACGGCACGTTAGGCTGGAAATGCTGCCTGAAACATGACAGCAGATACACATACACATGAAATAAAATGTTCTCTTGCTCTGTAAAGAAAAATGCCTGCCAGCCACTAAGCAACTCAGTATGGAGATGAGAATTAACTACCTGTCTGGGGTTCTCAACAGCTTCATCTGCAATGGAACTGGAACTCATAAAAGTGAGCCAAGGGTAATCATAGCAACAATATCATATATATAAATATAAACCCCCCAAGTATTCAAAATGCAAATTCTGGCAGGATGTTAATAAATTACAAGCTGCTCTGGTCTGATTAATGTCATGACAAAATTACTGCACACTTGGCATTTCTAGGCCTACGGGTTACAGGAGTTATTGTCTCTTTCTGCTCTGATATCAAGCAGAGGGGCGTGGGGATCCCCGTGCCCTCAGAGGGGCACCCTGCTCGGGGTCTCCAGCTGCACCCACTGCCAGGGTGGGCTCCTGGGGCACAGGGTGAGCTCTGACTGAGTTAACAGGGTGTGTGTGCCTCGGGCCAGAGCTGGCTCTTTAAAAGCAGATTAAATGGAATGAACAGCCACCCCAGGGCTGCCCAGGGGCTGAGCAGATCCGTGGGTGCCACTGGCAGGGTGCAGCCAGCTCCCGGGGCGGCAAAGCCACACGGGCCCGTGGGCCTGCCCCCAGGGTGTTTGCTTTAATGGGGTCTGTGCACCCCTGCCCTCGCAGTACGCTGAAAACGCGGCCTTAGGGATCTACACTGGACTCGGGAGGCAGGTTTTAATCTCCTTAAGCTGGGAGGAAAACTCATTTAGAGAAAGCACTGGTGCTCTGCAGCAGAAGGCACGCTCACCAAGGCAGGGAGCGGGCAGGGCCCGCTGGCCAGCTCCTCACCAGGGCGGCACACAGGGCGGGCGGTGGCAGCACCCTGGCACCGGGGCACCTGGCAGGAGGTGGAAGGCTGTGCTCCGTGGCACGCCTGCCCAGAGCTGGCACAGCCCGAGCGCCGCTCCAGCCAAAGCACCCGCCTCCCAAACACGGAGCATCCCCCGTCCTCCAGTACGGACCCACCGCCTCGGCACGGCGTGGCACGGCACACGGGCGATGCTGGCAGCGGCTTTCATCAGACCCTGAAGAAAAAGGCTCCTTGATGGCCCTTCTCTCCCTGCACTCACCCGCAGCATGGTGATCATGGAGGGGTCTCGGAGACGGCCATCCTCGTCCTTCAGGTTGTACCCCTCCGGCCTCTTGTCCCGCTCGCTGACCTTCCATAGCTTCACCGTCTTATCTGGGGCCAGGAGAGAGGAGAGCATTAGGGCTGGCTGCTCCCCGAGCCGTGCTGACGGGCACACCAGGACCACACCAGCTGGTTTACAACCATGAAACGTCTGCTATGTCCCCACCCGCCACTCACTGAAGGCAACACGGTTCCAGGGAAAAAGCCCTCTCAGAAGATGTACCTGTCACCACACCCTGTATCCCCAGAGCCCTGGTTTTCCTTTTTCTGCTTGACAACCACTGGTGCGTTATTCCAGATGTAAGGAGATGGTTGAACAACAGAACAGAACTGTTGGATTAATGGAGAAGTGATTTCCCAGGGCTCAGAGCCTCGGAGGTCATGCCCCGAGTGTCAGTGTTCAATAAATCGAGTGACGAGGCGGAGTGACCCCTGGAGAAGGTGAGTTGCTGGCACCAGGACAGGGCAGCTCGGGAGGCTGAGCCCGACATCCCGACGATGGGGCAGCACCACTCAGCTGCTCTGCTCCCCCCGGCCGCTGGCACGCCTGTCACACGCCTGTGCACACACCCAGACACAACCCCCTTCCCATGCCCACACACCCACTGGAAAGCCCATCGGGGGTGAACTCTGATGTAAGATTTTTCCTCCTACTTTTCCTAGTTCACATGTCACTTATCCAGGGGCCACTGGCTACTTTTCAAGAGTCATTTGCAAATCAGTTTAGCTGCCGGTAGCTGCAAATGTGTTAGATACCAAGGCTGCACCCGCTCTCCTGACTCTCCTCACCAGCTGCTCTATTTCTGCTCCTCTTCGTGCCTCACACCCTGTGTCCACCCCAGCTGACCTCCAGCACCAATGCGCTGCCCTCCAAGCCTTAACCCCACATCGACCCCTTTGAAAACAGGGGAGGGGGGTCAGGGATGCCCAAGGGTGGCTCCAGCTGGTGTCACCCTGCAGGTGTTCTGCAACTGTAACTTCCAGGGGAGCTCCTGCAGAAACCCAGTGTGCAGCGAGTGGAGCAGAGCAAAGGGTGACCTCTGCTTCCAGGGAGCTGGCTGGTGCCACAGCACTACGGAGGAGAAAAGCTCCTGGAGGTGAGCTGGTCCTGGAGGCTCCCCAAAGGGGTGAAATGGTGCCTGTATCTCACTCAGAATCCATCCTGACCTTCCCCACCTAGAAACCGCACAGAGCCCTGTATTTACCACGGACTGAGGGCAGCTCTGAGCCCCCTGCAGCTCCCTGTCCCCTCCTGGTATCCCACCACCTTGTGCCACATAGCCCCCAGGGGATGAAGACCTGGGAACATGTGGGTTTACTCTGAATAATGATGTTTTCTTTCCTCCCTCCTGGCAGAGACTCTATCAGTAGTTTATCATCGCTTCCACCAGGTTTCATACACAACCGTGTCATCCATCTTCATTTTCCCCTTTACACAGCAATTCTGATCGAGTGCCATTAATTTTATTTTTATTAACCCGCTTTACTTCAGGGGGTTTCTATATGTAATGTTAGTTTCACAGTAAGAACAAAAAGAAACACCATAACACAGGAGTATTTCTAAAAGAATAATTTTGATAACCTGCTAGGGTATAAAACACCATCCCAAATGGAAAGATAATATCCCTGTTAATCAAAAAACTACTTAAAAACTCAATTAACAGAACATTATGCTTGATAATTAATCTTCATTGCATTTCAATGATTCTCTCCCCAAATGAGTTTAATAAGTCTTTGAATTTTATTATAATGATCAATAGAGTCAATTCTATAATACAAAGTAAGTTGGTTATGGAAAATAATGAGACCCCTCCTTTTCCCCTGAAGTAATTAAGTCACATCCATCTTAAGGCCTTATTCATCCCAAGTAATATTCCTGGATCCTCCTGATATTTATCTGAACGTAACATGGGACTGCTGAGCTGAATGCAGCCTCAAATTGAAACAAATCAGCTGCAGGTTTTCTTTTTTTTTAAAAAAAAAAAAGTGTTCCCAGGATCCAAAGAATGAAAAATAAAAATTTTCAGCAGAGGGAAAAGACTCCTTCCCTTGCAGGGAAATAAGGACAAAAGCCTCGTGCACGGGACTCGCGCTCTGCCCGTTTGGGGCCTGTTCCTGCTCTCCCATCACACCGGTGTCCCTGGCATTTTTTACCGTATATTTTTCCCAAAGAAACGCCACAGAGAAGCCTCGCCTGGCTGTCGGGGCCAGGGGCAGGAGGGGGCAGGACAGCAGCCCCGCTGCAGCACGTACCGTTGGTGGAGAGCAGGAAGTAGGCTGCGTTCTGCTGCGGGAGCCATCGGATCTTATTGATCTTCTCCTCGATCTCCAGGCTCTTCAGGTAATCGAACTCCGGCTCGTGGCTCTGGAAGGTGCTGTAGACATTGTACTCTCCCCGGCGGTGCGGCTGGTTCTTGCTCTGCAGGAAGGGGCACACGGACGGGTTTGAGGGACACGGAGCGTGAGGACGTTGGTGTGGGCTCTCCAGGCCCACTACGTG